TGACAGCTTTTTTGTACTTTACACAAACAGTCTTTAGTTTTCCTCAAAAGGAATAGGTCAAAAATTTTCACTCATTTATATGGGACTATTTGGTTTTCAAATGATTCTTAGACAGCTCCGCTCCATGTTCAAGATTTATTTGTGCTTTCTTTTTTATTTGAAAGTTAAACCTGTGTTTAAACAGTGATCTTGATCTTTCAGGTTATGACCAAAAAAGCTTTCTTAGAAAAGATTAAATATTCTATCAAGGTCTTCTACCAAGATATGTTATAATTTTATATTATATTTAGAATCTTATAGTTTATTGTTTACTATTGCACAATTATGGTATAGTCCAGGACTATATCATAATTACAAAAGAAAATTTTGTTCTTTAATAGAAACTATGTTTCTAAAATTGAATTTTGAATGTTATGTGAAGTCTAGATTTAAACTTTCAAGGTCTGTAGTTTTTTTGAATACTATTTGAGGAAAGTTTGAAGTTCAATAATTAAAGAAAATGTTAACCAAAAAAAAGCTGTCTACAAACATTTTAATGCTGACTTCTGCAAATGTCACAGATTTTTTCAATATTATCATTAAATATAGAAAATCAACATGAAATGTTGATTTTCTATATTTAAAAAGTGAAAAAAAAAATCAAAAATCATACATTGATTTCTTCATGTCATCCCAAGTACAATTCTATTTTTTTTTTTAATTCTGATTCACTCTTAACAAGGCTGCAAGCAACTACAATTATGTTGAGTTGATAGAAAAAAAGAATAAAGTTATATAACAAGGAAACAGTTGACAGAAGACTTGAAAAGTTGAAGGTTGTATGAATCAGGAAAACAAGAAGATGGGAGAGAATTCCAAAGGGTTGAAGTGCAGGAGAAAAAACTAGACAAATAAAAGTTTTTAGATTATGCAGGGACAGATAAAGTAAAAGAAGACTTTCCTGAATGACCAGTCAAATGAAAAGTTTTAGTTAATGGAACTAAATGATAGTTCCTATGAACAGCAACCAAGTAACAGCTAGTAACAGATAGTATTTGTAGAAAAGAGTTATAGATGCAACTTTACAACGTTAGGAAAGAGGCTCAAGCTTAGCAGATAGAGCCGGTCCAACTACATTTACAATGCATTTTTGGACAATATCTGGAAGAGAAAGAGCACCATTAGAAGAACCAGCCCAAATTTGAATTCCAAACAGGGACAAATAAGAGATTTGTAGAGGTAGAGAATGGAATCAGGAGAGAGCAAATGGTGAGCATGATAAAGAGAAGCAACCTTAACAGATGCTAATTTAGCGATTGATTGTATATATGGTTTCCATGAAAGGTCAGTAGTAAATGATAATCCAAGATGACATAAAGAAGAGGTCTCAGTGAGGGCCATTCCTTAATATAGAGAAATGCCATTCATTATTAAAAGAATGTTGACAGTACTGTGATAGTTGTTTGCAGTAAATAACTGAGTTTTGTTGGAATTAAAATTACATGTTAAAAAAAAAAAGTTTTGTTGGAATTAAAATTACAGAAATAGGCTGTCTGTTCTAAGAGATTAAAAAGAGAAGATTTTTTGTCATGATAGAAGTATAAAGTTGAGTCATCAGCAAACAGAGCTACTTTAGATGTAAGGTTGAAGGAAAGATCATTAACGTAGATAAGAAACAAAACAGGACCAAGGATAGAACCTTGAGGAAAACCAGAAGTTACTGGAAATAAAGAAGAGTAGTGTTGGCCTTCGAGGATGAATTTATTAAAGCAGTTAGTAAGAAACGATCTGATAACCTCTAAAACTTTCCCAAATACACCATATGAAATAAGCATATGGAGAAGATCAGTATGCTAAACTTTGTCTAAAGTCTTAGATATGTCAAGACCAAAACCCCTAGCCTCTCCACCTATGATACCAAAATATTAAACATAAAAAACAGGGATGGTTTTTTATGTTTAATATTTTGGGTTACTTTTGGCATGTTTTAAGTTTAAAGAGAACTTGAATCATTCACAGATGGAGCACGATCTTCTAAGCAATAAGCTATGCAATTTTCTCAGTCTTGTTAATTAACGTTAATTCATATGCTAAAACATAGAACTCTTTATGTGGCCTCAATAATGCGCACCAAAAGCATTAACAGGGACATCATCCATGCACAACAAGGTACTGTTAATACTCTAATATTTTGCAGCTGTTGATGAAATCAGTCTCTCTGAGAACAACCACAGAGTTTGAGAAACCTTACTACCAGCCGGCCTCATAATCATTAAACTGAGTTTTAGAGCTGTACCCTCATTATGAGATAACAGGAAGAGTTACATAGCCACTATCAAGGATGCACAAGCAAAAATCTATAAGAAGAATCAAGAAGATCCAGCATTCATCACCAAAGGCAGGAAGCAATGTAATACAGACTTACATCTATGCCAGCCTAATAGATAAAGAAGGGGTTCAAGGCTGGTTAGCAGAATTATTCTGCTTACCCCTAAAGTCTTTGCCTGGGAGACCTTCTACAAGATAGCAGGTAGATGCAGTTAACATCTGCCCAAGATGAGTATTTTTATCAAGACACCATCTTTAGCCTTTACTTAACCAAAAGCCCCAAGGCAGGGGAATTTTAGCTAGATGCAGTTAACATCAGCCCAAGGTGAGTATTTTTATCGAGACACTATTTCTAGTCTTTACTCAACCAAGAGTCCCCCCCCAAAAAAGGGGATTTTGTCGGAGTTTGTTTCTCCCAGCCTTTGCCTAAAAAGCACACTCTACAAGGCAGCAGAGCATGAGGCAGGTAGTACTGGGTTACATAATACTAGTAGCAGGGTGATCATAATGATTTTGAACCTGACCTGACCTGGAATAATTAAAAGGAGCTACATCGTGCCAACAGTACCTTAAAACATTGCATGATATTTTTGAAATGCATAAGGAAAAATATTAGTTTAATTGCAAGTTTTAAATTCATCACAGTATCATCACGGTGTCATCTGGTACAGTTATAACTGGTAAATATTTAACACATTTATTATAAAAAAAATGTTAATCTTCTTATAGATAAGTTTTTAAACATATCTATAAGAAGTTTTTCAACAAAGGATATTTTTTATAATCATTTTGATAATTTTCTTTATTTCTTAAATTGAATTCTTCAATTTTGTAATTAACTGTGACTTTATCAGATAATTTATTAAATTTTTTTTTTTTATTCTTTTTTTTTGTATTATATGTTTTTGTTTTACAAAAACATAATCTTAAGATTCTTTGAGAAGCCTCACTCTTCTCCGTGGTTTTCACTCTTCTCCATGGTTTTCCTTTCATTGTGCTGCTGCAATTTCTGATCTTAACCATTACTTTCATACCTATCAGCAAAACAATTCTCTAGAAAACAAACCTGAGAATAAGAGATTTCATGAGCTGAGAATAGCGGGCTAATGCCAAAGCCTGCTATTCTCAGGTCAGAAAATCTCTTATTTCATCTCTAAAACTAGGCTCTCATGACTTTTAGAGAATCTTTAACAGTATCTATACCGTGGGCAAATCTGTTGTTCCACCTCTCTTGTATGATTCAGATTTTGTTACCTCACCTAAAGACAAAGCACTCTTCTTCATATCCTGTAACTTCAGGGGTTCCTCAAGGTTCTATCTTTGGCCCTATACTCTTTTTAATTTACATTTACGATCTCCCAGAAATTCTCACATCTATGGCATTGTTTGCTGATGATACTACCATTTATTCTTGTCTTTATAAGAAGCCAACATAATTTAGAAATTTTTTTAGGGGTGTTCACTAAGTTTTTGCACTAACTTTAAAAGGGTGTTACTCCTTTATTTTTGAGGAAAATTCAATTCAGTACAGAGCTTTAAAACTTTTTAATTCTGAGTAAATACTGTTTATTTTCCATTTTCAATAATATTATTGCCTTATAAAATCAATTCTTTTTCTAACATACTTGATCAAATCTTTTGTTTAAGAGAGGTATTTTTGTATTTTGAGACAAAGTTGATGAATTGATATCTTCTCAGCCATTTCCCAGCGAAGCTCTTTAATGGGTTGACATGGTCTTGTTTATCAACATGCTTAATGGAAATTTCAATCATGTAGTCTAAAATGGATAATGTGTTATATGAACTTGCAATACCTAGTCAAAATATATAATTGCCACTTAAATGATGCATTTTAAATAAAAGGAAACAGCAGCTAAATTTCTCTATAAAGTTTCTGATTGATTTCATTCCCACTCTTGTAATGCACGGTTTTGACATTCCATGAAAAAAAAAAGACAGCTAAACAAGAAATTACTTTTAAGACTTATTTTTTAATTTTACTACAAACAAGGTCTTTGTTACTTGAATAGTAATTTTCATTGCTTTTAACACTTTCAATATTAATTTGCAAAAGTGTTGTAAATTATGTTCAAGCTGCTTTCATTTGAGCTTTGGTTCAAACAGGAATAATCTTCTTCCAGTAATGTATCCAGAAATTGTTTAGCTGCTTATTAATATGCAAGCAATTGTTAAAATTTAACTTGCAAAATTCTTGTTGTTGGTTTATTGTGGTTTAAAGCCACTTTAAAGTGGTTTTAGTTTTTTAGGTTTTTTTTTCTTGGTGGATATAACAGGACAATTCTTTATATCCATTGAACACTTTCCAGACTAGTAACATTTGACTATGCTATAAACAGTTCTTTTAGAAAAACCCTTGCTGAAAAAATATTCAACGGTAAATTATATTTTTGTGATTTTATTTTATATTTTTTTGTAGTAAGAATAAACTCAATTTCTCAATACTTCTCATTTATTCATTTAAAAAATAAAATTATTAAAATATTTTGAATCATGCTTATATGATTTTGAAAGCTCACATTATACAGATTTTAAATTTTTTTATACATTTGAATTTGAAAAACAGAAGCAAAAATTATTTAAAATTTGTGTAAAAACTTAGTTACCTGTTATTGCTTTACCTAAACACTCGTTTTTAATACTTATATTTATGTTAT